TTGGTTATAAAATGTCACATTATTTATATGGTATGAGATTAGCACTCATGATCATAGCTATCTGTAAGTGGTTATTGTTAAGGATCATGTTGAGATCCCTACGGGACTATATGTTCATCCCATGTTGTTGAATCTTTTTCAGGTGATAATCAGGATGTGCTACGAGATTTCGGATCTTCTTTATTTGTTGGTCACGGGGCCTCTTTCTGTGTAGGCGGAATGCCATTAATGTAAAAGGGTTACACCATTCTTCTTAATTTTTAAATGATGTAAGCCTACGGGCAACTTCTTTAATTGTATATTCATGTTGCATTCATTTTATCCGACTAAGAGAATTCTGTATATATATTCGTTGAGAATATTATGCGCTTCTGTATGCTAACTCTGAAATGGAATGTATAATAAAGGCTTGGTAATAGTAATCCGAGTAATAAAAAGTGGGGCGTGACAAGATGCATTCCTACTCACCTTTCATTGTCCTCTATTAGCCTCCACTGTCAAAAGGGTGTTTGTGTCTTCCACAAAAAGAGCATCCAAAGTCTTCATCCTTGTCATCCCATCATTCTTGTCTCCCACCCTCTCCTTCACTTAGCATTCTATCATTGCTTATAGAGAGGAGGATCAGATTGTTAAGAGGAAGAATAAAGAGAGAAGATCAATTAAGAGAAGAGAATGATAGAGAAGAAAAAAGAGAGAAGCCTTAAGGTTTGAACCAAAAAACCTCCATATACATTTATATCCCATATTTCCATATATCAAAACCATCCTAGAAATTCTGAGATAGCTAAATTTTAGTAGCTTTGATCAAAAGAAAGCGATTGTTGTTGGAAGAGAGAAAAACAGAGAGTTGAATAACTCCTCTCACACACACTGTTAAACAACCCCAAAACACCATTCTAACAAGAATTTTGAATTTTCGAGCTGAGGGTTGAGAACACACTTCCTAAACTTGAGGGTGATCAAAAGGAAGTTTGAAAATCAAGGAGTTCATCCTTTTCTTGGAAGGTAAACTTCACACACCTTCATTTTCTTGGAATTTCTTTCTTATATTGCTCTTCTTGCTTTGATTTCGTATTATGAACTATTGTAAGCTAACTGGGAGTGGTGAGTTGAGCCATCCACATATTCCTTGTTTGTTCTTTTCTTTAACTTTGCAATAAAACAGAGTTTTGGCCTGCCTTGATTGGCCAGCCGGCCAACTTTTTGGCTGACCAGCTCACTTTTTGACCGGCCAACTAACTTCTTCTAGACAGAACCTAGCAGTCTCCCAGCGTCGAACAAAACTGTCTCTAATGGTCTCCAAAATCCTCTAAAGTTTCTTTTTTTCTTTTTTCTTTTTTTTTAATTTAAAAAAAGATTTATGAGGATATTTGTTGTAATATTTTTATTCCTCTGCCCCCTTATTCGGATATGTAATATTCAAGTGTTGTAATAATCCACCACCTCGCTTCTATCTATCCGTTTCTTTTATTCACTTTCCTTATTGTACATATGCTATATATTTTTGTTTATCGTCATATCCATGCTTTGCATCCATGCTTCATGCCTTAAGATTCGGTTAAATTTGCATCTGTAGGTTTAATCGATTATTATGTGATTTTGTGCTCTACCTCTTATCTTGAGATGATTCATATGTCATATATTAGAAGTCGGATCTTTAGTTACATTTCATGAGTGAATTGCATTAAGATTTTATATATAAGATCATGCATATTTTACTAACTTTGTTTTGTAATTATTTGCGGGACGTCAGTAAATATGTAAGTCTTTGTACTTTAGCATCCTGCTTGTGTGTGTTTTTCTTACTATGTTTAGCATCCTACCATGTGGCTATTTGCTTATTTGACATAACTCTATGCATGCCAATGGATGAAGGTTGTGCTATTCGATTTGGAATAAAATTGATTTTCATGTTTGTAAAACTCAATTTTCTGTGTTTTGTACTCTATTCAAAACATTTTCAAACTACATGAAATCTAATTGTTCCAAAACAAATGACACAGTCTATACTTGTTTGCTTTACATAGTAAATTTTAAGATTTGTTAAATAAATCGGAATATGAACATATGAAGTAAAAAAAAATCATATCATAGTTTTGTAGAACCCGATCTTTTGATTAGGTGAACGGGGGGTGCTCAATTATTGACTTTCCCCTCTCATATCTAAGGTTTTGAGCCAAGTATCTATGGTTACGACGAACAATGGCCTTGGCAAGAGTCATGAGTTTTCTAATTTTTTCAAAATATTAGGTGGCGGCTTTGAGATTTGATAACACAGTTCATTTCTGGCAAATTTTTTTTGCAATAAAATGGATTTTCTATAAAATTATCAAATCTGGACTCTCATCTATGTTTCACATTGCACTCGTGAGCTTAGATTAAAGAATTCGAGCTGTTTAATGCGCTCAGGTATCCCCGGACGGTGTTACAAAGTGCGTACCATAATATTTCCCATTATTACATTCCTTGACTTTTAAAAAGTAATAATAACATGGCATAATATAATATGGCAAAATATAGGTTAAACTAAAGTGTACTCCACCTAAGAAAAAAACCCACAATATTCTTTCCTTCTGAAAGGGCAAATTATACTTTACCTCCCTCAACTATCACCGTTTTTCACTTTAACCCTTGAAACTAAAAATTGATACAATGTACCTCTTTTATCTTCTGAAAATTTTTAATCTAACCCTTGTGTCTTCATTTTGTTCACAAAATAGATGGAAAACGTGCATGTAATGTACGCATGTCATATTTATAATAGATCTTTAAATAATATTTTCATCGTAAATATAGCATGTGAACATTACATGTGCATTTTTTGGCCTATTTTGCTAACAAAATAGAGACATAAGGGTTAGATTGAAATTTTTTAAAAGCTGAGGAGTACATTGTATCAGTTTTTAAGTTGACCGCAGACTAAAAAGCAGTGATAGTTGAGGGGGTAAAGTGTAATTTTCCCCTTCCAAAACCCACAATATTCTTTCTTTCCAAACAAATAAGGTAAATTACAAATGCATCCTTTGAGATTTATTTAAAATATAATTTGTCTCCTATGGTTCTAGAAATTACATCCCACCTCTTGAAATTTCTAATTTCATAACAAATGACCATTTTTATAAATAAATAAGAAAAAATTTCATTTTTACCTCTATACTTTGTCTCAATTTTCAATTAAACCTCCAGACTTTGAATAATTTTAATTTTACCCCTAAAGTTTTTAAAATCGTATCAATTTTGCTCATACCGTCAAATTTGAAATGAAAAAAGTTTGAAAAAAGTTACATTTTGACTCTAAATTTCAAAAGAAATATGCAAACTCACCCTCTCCTACCCAAATTCACCCTTTCTGGCACCCTCTCTAGCAACTCACACCACCACGACCACCGCAACCCTCACAACACCATTATCGTAAACCCACTCACCCTTGTACTTAAATGAACAAAAACCCACATACTGAAATGAACAAAAACTCACACTTTACACACAACCACCATCATCAGAGAAAAGTCGCCTCCTTAAATGAGAAAAATATAAAAACATAAAAAATAGAAACCCAATTGGTAAACTGCACAAACCAACATTTCTTTCAAATCCTAGTCATCTCTAGAGAAATTGTGTTGCATACACCATAAATATCAATAACAAACACACCTATTTGCTAAATCAAACAAAACCCACTTGGTTAATTACACAAAATCCCAACACATGCTCACCACAATGATCATTATAAACCAAAAGCACCCACTTCACATGATAGCACAAACACAGATATATGTATATGTGTGTGTGTGTGTGTGTGTGCGTGTGTGTGTGTGTGAAGTTGATGAAGGTAATGAAGAGATGAGATGATATGTATATATATATAGAGATGAGATAAGCATTAACTTCATCAACTTCATTACATTCATCAACATCACCACCCGAACCACTAACTTCACCGCCACCAAACTTCATCACCGCCACCATGAGCATCACCATTACCACCACCACTACCTTTCAATACCAAACCCACCTCCTTCACAACCAAGTTCCATTACCACTACCATCTAGCTCCATAAACACTATTACCACGAACTTCACCGCCATCACCGAATTGCTACCATCGGACTGCCATTACTACCATTACTAGCTCCATTACCACATAGAACAATGCTCCACATTATGTTATAAGTAAAGAAGGAGAAGAAGAAAAGGAAGAAGAATAATAATGATGAAGATGGAGGAGAAAGAAACAAAAGATGAATGTTTCGAAATTTTCAAAGTTAGTTTTTAGACAACTTTCGGCATACCGAAACCGCTCATTACACGAAGAAGTGTGAAAGTAAGGAGAAATGAGAAATCAAGGTAGTGCATGACGAAGTAAGAAGCGAGGTGAAGAGAATGACGAAAGAATGAAGTGAAACTATCAAAACTTGAGAAAGATATGAAGTCCGAAAGATGACTTGACGAAAAGTCGAAAAGGAAAAGAAAAGTTTTATTTTCTTTATCAACTTTCGAAGCTCTGACAACATGCAAAAAGAAGAAGAACGAGACATGTGAGAGGTGATACGAAAACTAAGTCATGAGGTGAATCTAGCAACATAAAAATGAGGCGAAATAGTATTATGACAAATGAGATAGAAGGGCTTGAAGTGGCGGTTTGTGGTGGTGGGTCTGAATCTTTCTTCTGAAATTTGGAGCCAAAATGTAATTTTTTTAACTTTATCCATTTCAAATTTGATGGCAATGGCAAAATTGATACATTTTCAAAAATTTTGGATGTAAATTGAAATTATTTAAAGTCTGGAGGCATAATTGAAAATCGAGGCAAAGTATAGGTATAAAAATGAAATTTTTTCAATAAATTATAAAATCAACTAATTTTTTTAATAGTATTAGAAATTTATTATAATTAATAATTCAAATAATTTGTAGTTAAAATTTTTATTTTTTAATTAATTTTATTAAATAAAATTATTTTATTTATAATTTTTAAAATCGCAAACAAAAAACAGCCTTTTCAAAACTTGGAGGGAGAGCAAAGAAAATCTGTTTCGTTGCTAACTCGATGAACTAGGGTTTCGATTGAAGTGGACGACGAGATGGTAATCAATGGAGTAGGGCTTCGATTATGGTGAACAATGACAACGACGAAATCAACAGATAGATTGCCGGAAACTGTCATTTTTGTGACCTGTATGTAAGTAACTTCTTCTTCTTGGCCTCTCTTTCTCTCTCTCTCTCTCTATATATATATATATATATATATGTATATGTATATTTTGATTGTTCATTGGAATGTCGAAACCCATGTTCCATGTCGCAATCGATCCGCGATTTGGCTTTGGGTAATGATTCCCCCTAATTTGTCACAAAAGGTTTTGCAGAGATTTCATAGGATGTGGTCAAAGTTTTTAATTCATTTTTTGAAGCTTGTGCATTGGAAATATATTTAGTATAAGGAGGAGGAGGAGGATTTTACATTGTACATGATGATGATGATGATGATGATGATGATGTTTAGCAATTGTTTTGTGCAGTTAGTTGCTCTCTGTCTCCGTCTACAACTTTCAACTGAGGAATGGAAGAAGGGGATCTCCAAAAATCTCCACAGCTGCTGGGGGGTAGTACCATACTTGATAGCAGTGGTGATGCAAAGTATGTCTCTGGACTTAGTACCATACTTGTTGCCACAATTCAGGAAGCAAAAGACAGGATTTCTCAGATAGAATATATTTTCTGCAGCCAGCTCTTCCCTAATTTTCAATCTCATTCTAAAAGCATGCAGAAGATTTATTCTGAGGCCAGAAATGCTGCTGAAGATGCATGGAAAGAGAAGGAGAATGATCTCTTACTCCAAATAGATAAACTTCAGCATGAAATGAAACTGGTCCTTGAAGAAAATCAGTCTCTCAAGATGGACAAGGCACGGTTTGTTGAAACAAAATCCTCCTCCTCCTCCTCTGCTATGCTTAATAATGAGAAGATCTTGAATGAGCTTGAAGAGAAAAATAAACTGCTTTTGAAGAAACAAATTGAAGCTCAGGAAATTCGAGGACAGCTACTGAAAAAGTCAAAGCAAGTTGACGAGGGAATGGAACTCCAGAATAAGTTGCTTCAATTGGTTCAATCAAAGGCAACTTTGATAGTGCAAAAGGAAAAACAATTGAAAGAGGAGGAAGAAAAGACAAGTGAGCTTCTTGCCAAACTTGTGAGTTTAGAGAAAAATGTTTACATGATTCAAGAGCAGCTTAGTGCAAAAACTGACCAAGTAGAGAAGGAAAAGGGGCTGCAGGAAAAGTTACTCAAAGAAATTGAATTACACCTCTTGAAGAATGTTAACAATGAACAGCTGTTGAACAATTTTGAAACAGAAAAGAAATTACTCACAGGAAAAGTACGAAGTCTGGAGAAAAGCATGGATGCGCTTCAAAAGGAGCTCAGGAAGAAAATTGAACAAGTGGAGGGGGGAAGAAAATTGCAAGAGCAGTTACTCCAGCAGATAGATTTGAATAGTTCAGAAATGTTGAAGACGGGACAGCAGTTGGAAGAGCTTGAGAAAGAGAAAAAACTGCTTCTGGCTAAAATAGAAGGCTTAGAGGAGAAAGTTGGTAAGCTTCATGTGGGTCTTAGAGAGAGAAGCAACGCGACATCTGAAGGAATGGAATTGCATGGCAAATTACTCCAGCAGATTGAAGCAAAAGACTCGGAGATACTGTCTGAGAAGAAGAAAAGAAAGGATGTCATTGTTGCTTATAAAAGCCTGAAATCTCAATACAACTTTCTGCGTGCAAAATTTGGTCTTACTGCAGAGAATATGCTCCCCCAAAACAAAATAGAAGACGAAAGTGATTCATTCAGGCATAATCCAGTAACGTCACCAAGTATGCTTTATTGCCTTGATGTTATTATTATTAGCATTGTAATGTACTGCTTGAGTTTCATTATTATGAACTAAAGAATGTATTGGATTCGTTCGTGTTAAGCATACAAATGATCAAATCAGACAAACCTAGGAAGCATGGACACCTTGCCCAGACATACGTATCAGTGTTGGACACATCTAGGAACACAGACATAGTCTAGACATGCTGGACAGGTGGTGGACACGTCAAAAAGTGTTTGAAATTATTTTTAAACTACAAACACGTTGAGGATACACTAGGGACACATTCTAGACACACTGAGGAGACTTTTAGGACACTTAATAAATAAGTACTCAAAAAGAAAAATCAGCTATTACTTGATATCCATTATATCTAAAAATAGAGAGAAAACTAAAAACATTACTTCCCACTTTCATAATGTTGTGTAGTTGGCAAATTTCTGGATTGACAATTTTTTGATAATGTGTCAAATGGTAGAAGTACGGAATTTTTTTAATGCAAATAAAAAAAATTATAGAAATTTGAATGATGATTAAATAAAAATGTCATGGCTGATTAAATGAAATTTTTGTATTTGGTGGTTTTGTTGTTTTGATAAATTGATAATATTATTATTATTATTTGTGTTATCCCTAATTTAATTTAAATAATGTTGATTTTTGTATATGGATTTATGTATATACATTTATATTTATACATATATATTTTATTATGCATGTCCCCAATGTGTTTGTCCCCTAATTTTCAGAGAAATGCCATATCTACTACATATATGTATCTCTGTTTATGTCAGTATCTATGATTCTTAGAATAAAACCGCTAAAGCTCATTTACTGCATGCATACTCTGTGTCTGTCAAACACAAATTTTCAAGTTCCCTATGCATAATAATAAGTAGCAAGTAGAACAAATGAATTTAACCTTACTGCATACATGCACTCTCTCTCTCTCACTCTCTCTCTCTCACACACACACCCACACACACAAAATTTCCAAGTTCACTGCTCATAAGTATGTATAGCAAATGCATTTAACCTTAACACTAATGAATCTTCTTATCTGTTGTAATGGATAATGGGGATATAGGTCCAAATGCTTTGATGGTTGCCTGTGAGATCACCCAAGAGAAGGAAAACTTGGAGGATGACAAAAGAATGAGATTAAGTCATGCATTAAGCTCCGACTCTCCCTCTATTTCCACTTCTCCTGTTGCACCAAACTGCTCCAGTGATGTGAAATCTGGCCCACTAGCTGGCACAAAACGTCCCGTCTCTTCTTGGAGAGATACAAGAGCCCAGCACCGAGGTGGTTTTGATCCCCACGATGATTTTCTTGACACTCCATTGGATAATATCAGAGGAAACATAAAAAAGCCCATGAAGGAAGAACTTCAAGATCTACCAGATCCAGTTTCAAAGGACATGAATTTGGACAGCTCAGATGATGAAACACAGGGGGGAGACCCTGGCCCACAGAAGCTGCAAATGCCAGTTCCGAAGCCTGGCATGAAGGGTTTCAAGTATGTCGAACCAACAAGAAAGAAAGCCGAGAGGGAAAATTTGAAAGGAATTGAATGCAAGCAATGCAGGAAATTTTATGATGCTGTTCTTCCTGATGGCAGTGGAGACAAAGATGCTGAGGGTAATAAGAAGCAGTTACGTTGTGAACATCATGATGGAGTTTCGAGGCATCGATATAGGTATGCGCCTCCTTTGACTCCTGAAGGATTTTGGAATATTGGATTTGAATCTGAAATGTGAGTTCCTTGAATTGGAGTAGATCTAATTGAACTATTTTAAAAGCTAATATTTAACTATCTTCGTTCTTGCTGCTTATACTGGTCTAGAGTCCAAGTCTGAACCAAATCAGGGAGAATACAAATATATATATATATATATATATTGGACAAAATCAACCAGAGACACAATAAGGGATTGATCGGATGCCCCTTTTAATTTGAATGGTTCCTTTTAGTTTTCGCATGGCACTTGGACGTAAGGCTGCCATTTTACTAACGGCTCTATTCAAGATGATGGAAACATTTAATTGCTATGCAAATGTTAACGAGGCCATTCAAATTCAAGGGGATATCCAATCATACTTATGTTTGGATATTGTATTTGTCAATGGAGGAAAATGAAAAAAAAATTAAATTAGTTGAGATATTTATTGGGTAACTGAACCCAAAAAAAAAAAATACCTATTCATTTACGGTTCTTTTACTTTTATAGATCTAAAATCCAAACATAATGTAGAAGAAGTTAAAAGGAATACCGCAAGAATCCAAGGTTTAAAACGAACTTTGACCATTTTACAATTTGTTGGAAGGTATTTTTTCTGTCCTATTATGGACTCACATTCACATAGCACAGGTAAAATCATAAGAAATATTTTAAGGTGGAAAATTTTATAATGGTGCTCGGCATTGGATTAACCCTGGTGGGCTTAATGGTGGTGATGGTGCCAGTATAATTGGTAACCTCATCAGACTCAAAAGATAAGATCACTTGAAGACATTTTCATTTGAATACCATAATTTTGGTTGTATTTTGTGACTTTCTAGGGACCAAAGGACCTTTCATCTTATGGGAAAAAGTTTCCGAGACTGTTAATCAAATGGATCTACTTGCAGTCTTAGCTTTATTACATTTACATGTCAACGGAGCTGGTGTTTGGCCATTTACGAACACTAGTATTGCAAATTAAAAGTTGTCATCACCCCAGTGAAACGTTCTCCAAAAGGGACTTTTCTTTTTTTTGTTTCTTCTTTCCTGGTGGCAAATAAAAAAGCTTTATTAATTAAAGAAGAGTTGATATATAGTTAAGATCATACAAGGTTTGTAAAAGATGTCAAGGAGACATGTTTCCCATTACAGAGATTTCATCTTAGAAAAAGTCAAATCATATGTGAAATAAGTAAGTATAGCTAATATATATCAAAGCTAATGAGTATAGCTAATATATATCAAAACTAGTAGACTCAAAATAAAAACGAGGGGAAAACTTGAAGAGCATGAGTGGACAGTATGAAATGAAGTAGGAAAGAGGAAAGAGGTTCTGGCAAACTTGATTATAGAGAAGATGCTGCAAGATGAGCTTTTTTACTTGAATATAATGTATCTTCCTCCTCTTAGCTTAGATTGGAACAGCTTGAGCTTGGCTCCTTTAAAAGTCATTTGAACTCGGTTCATTTATTAAAATGAATGAGCTCGAGCTTGACTTTGAAATTCATTTATTAATCGAGTCAAGCATGAATAGCTCTAAACTCGACTTGATAAGGCTCATGAACATAAATAAAATAAATTATATTTGTTTATCAGACTCAAAAGATAAGGTCACTTGAAGACATTTTCATTTGAATACCATAATTTTGGTTGTATTTTGTGACTTTCTAAGGACCAAAGGACCTTTCATCTTATGGGAAAAAGTTTCCGAGACTGTTATGCTGTGTTTGGTTGGGGGATTTAAGGAGGGATTTGGAAAGAGAAATGGAAAAGGTAGGTGAAATGTGAATAAAACATACGTATATTTTACCTAGTTTCACACACCTTTTCCCTTTCCATTTCCAAATCCCTCTCCAAATCCTCCAACCAAACACAGCGTTAATCAAATGGATCTACTTGCAGTCTTAGCTTTATTACATTTACATGTCAACGGAGCTAGTGTTTGGCCATTTACGAACACTATTTTTGCAAATTAAAAGTTGTCATCACCCCAGTGAAATGTTCTCCAAAAGGGACTTTTCTTTTTTTTGTTTCTTCTTTCCTGGTGGCAAATAAAAAAGCTTTATTAATTAAAGAAGAGTTGATATATAGTTAAGATCATACAAGGTTTGTAAAAGATGTCAAGGAGACATGTTTCCCATTACAGAGATTTCATCTTAGAAAAAGTCAAATCATATGTGAAATAAGTAAGTATAGCTAATATATATCAAAGCTAATGAGTATAGCTAATATATATCAAAACTAGTAGACTCAAAATAAAAACGAGGGGAAAACTTGAAGAGCATGAGTGGACAGTATGAAATGAAGTAGGAAAGAGGAAAGAGGTTCTGGCAAACTTGATTATAGAGAAGATGCTGCAAGATGAGCTTTTTTACTTGAATATAATGTATCTTCCTCCTCTTAGCTTAGATTGGAACAGCTTGAGCTTGGCTCCTTTAAAAGTCATTTGAACTCGGTTCATTTATTAAAATGAATGAGCTCGAGCTTGACTTTGAAATTCATTTATTAATCGAGTCAAGCATGAATAGCTCTAAACTCGACTTGATAAGGCTCGTGAACATAAATAAAATAAATTATATTTGTTTTTAATAATAATCAAATACATTTTTGTTAATTTATTTTATTTTATTATTTGTGTTTGGTATTTGTGTAAATTTACATATTTAATTAATGAAATTTATTATAATATAAGCATTCTCGTATATTTTACTCGTAATTTTTTAGGGCAAAATTCAATTGTGGAAGTTCAATTTCATGGTAAATCTTATACAGTTTAATAATTAAATTTATAAATTTTTTCATTAATCTATAAATTTCTTTTAAAAATATCATTGAAGTGTATTTTCACTAATTCAATTTACGTGGTTTATCTCTGAAACATGTTACCTTCCAATTGTAAATATAGGTAGAGAACTCCTTTATGATTTTAAACTAAAATGTTATTCTAACTTTGTTTAAATTAGATGTAATTGATGTTTATACCCTTTGTCTTCTCTCCTTCTTCCTTTTTTTTTTTTTTTCTTCCCTTCTTCCTTTTTTTTTTTTTTTTTTGTTTGACTTTTCTGCAAAATTTATTAGATGTGGAAGCTTGAACTTTTAAAGTAATTTCTAATTTATATAACTTATTGATGCAAGAATGTAATAAAATCAACCAACTTTTTAACTTAATGTCTAAATTAACGACACATTAATACATGTATATGTGCAACAAGTAGTACACACTAGAAGCAACCCCTCCTGCAATTGTGGTCTTGTAACCACAATTATGTCCTTTTGGGATGAAAGAGTTTGAGTCAAAACAATCATTAAAAAAGTTAAAAAATAATATCCAAAAAAAAATTCCATTTTCTTTACTTTTGCTTGATTTTTCAAAAAAAAATTAAAAAAAAGTTATTTCACGGCATCTCAATTTTTTCATCTTATGTTTTAATCAAAAATACAAAAAATACTAAAAGAAGCCACTCCCTAAATGACCCCTTAGGGTGGTGAGGGGAAGGTTGAGATTTGAACTGATGAAGCAATGACAAACTCCTCAAGTTATAATTTAACTTTACAAACAATTAACTAATATTCTACAATCTTGACAAAAAAAATTCATCCCACAATTGCTCTAGTGACACTATTAACTTCTATTTTTTAGTTTAAGAAAAAAGAAATAATTAAAATGAAGTTTGTGAAAATTCAAACTCCTTGATAATAAACGCACTATGCAGATTCAATCCGAGACAATAAAAACCTAGAAGATGAAAGATATTCGTTTAGAGATATTGTACACCTTTGTCTCCATTACAACATTAACCTCCTCCGAAATACAAGCACAAATATAATTTAGTGGTTCTAAACCAAAATTAAATGTACATGTTTAGAGGAGAAGGGGAGGCAGAGAAGGGAGGGTGTGGCAGGGACTGCTGGTTAGGGTTGAGTTAGGGTTTGGGTTTAGGTTTGTAAGGTTTAGAGGTATTGTGCACCTTTATCTTTTGACATTTTTATTTTACTTTATTTTTTGAAAAAAAAAAAAAAAATCATGCCAACTCTCAAAGTTAGCATGTGCGCTACACATCCTGTCTATTTAGACAGAAAAATTTAACAATTGCAATTTAGTCCAAATCCCCCGGGATGTTCTCTGCATATATTTAAACCATGAGGGGTAAAATATTATGACGGTAAATTACAAGGCAGTAAAATAAATTTTGCTCAGTTTTTATTTTTTTATTTTTTAACTTAATAAGTAAATTAATTTAAGCTTCATTTTTTTTTTCCAATTTGAGCTCAAACTTGCTTTGTTTATGTAATCTAGTTGCCTTGAACCGAGCTTGAATTTCTCAAATATTTGACAAGCCAAACTCAAGCTCGACTTGAGCTTTAGCTCGAGCACGAGCTCAACTAATTTTTGGTAAAGAAGTTTGAACACTCAAAAATTTGGCTCAGTTGCAACTCTAGACTGGAGAAACCTTTTCAAGAGTGAAAATTCTGAGCTAAATAACAAAAGTATATATATATATATATATATAATGTATATACATATCTAAAATTAAATAATAAAAAAAGAAGAA